GTTCACACCCAAAACCAAAAAACGTTTTTCTTTCTTTTTCCATTTGTTTCCTGAACATGCGATCTGGTTTACTTGATTATGTTATTTTTTATTAAGGCACATGTTATCCTTTATCAGAACAAGTGCTGGAAATTCGTGGAAAAACCTTATCAAAGAACTGCTTATTTCAAAAGGAAGGACTGTATCTTAGAACTGATAAATTAGGAACTTTTTTCCTTTTTGCTGGAAATGTGCTCTCATTTGGATATTGGCTGTATAGGAGGGCAGTACAGCTGCATCAGGATATAGTTTTGCATATATGTATATGTTTTCTATGGTCACTTGTTCTCAAGGTAAGACACTAGTGGCATATGGGCCATTATCACCCGCTGTTTAAGCAAATCTGATATCTGTTTGAATAAAAATCATAGCTAATTAAAAACTATTTTGATCGACTAGAGAGTGCGATATTGATTGTTAGAGATGTCGCGAACCGTTGAAACATGGATGCTGTCCAGGAAGTAGGAGGGTCTGGGAGGGAGGGTCTGCCAGAGATTGGCCGGGATGTGTCAGCTGACCGGAGTTCGCCACAAGAAGTTCGCGACATCTCTATTGATTGTATTTTAATTTTATAACATGACAGGAGGCTTCATATTTGCTTAAGTCTCTCTTTACTAGAACTCCACAGCAGCCCATTAACATAGAGATAAAAACACCAGAGACAAAAAATCAGGAATGTATAAAAGGCTTCTCCCAACTAACTATTTCCTCTTTCTTTGCTGCTCCGCAGTCAGTACAGGTCAGAGTACCACTGCCTCCTGTTATATATGGGTGGCTGTGGATATTTTACTGTATTTATATGTTTTTTACTGTATTGATTTATTTATTTAGAGGGTATTTTTGCATCTACCTACTTAGTACTGTAGGGAATGATTTATTTAGCTATACTGTATTTTCTACACCTACCTGCTTAGTGCTGTAGGGATTGCTTGCTTGATTGATTGATTTATTTACTCTGGTTTTCTGCATCTACCTTCTTATGGCTGCAGGGATTTATTTGTTTAGAATGTTTTACCTTCCTACTGCCATTATGATTTATTTAGATTGTATTTTTCTGTCCCTACTTTTTTGCTGTAGGGATGTATTTTCTCTTGTGACTTTTCTGCATTTTCCTGTTTTTTTCTCGGGTTTGGGGGGGGATTCCTTTTTTCCCTCCCTCTACCTTTTTTGGGTGGCTTTGCTCCCTTCACTTTTCGTCTGTTTTGCGGCCGCCGGAAAGCGGTCCTCCGACCGCCGGGACTCCGGAGTAAAAAGACTCCGGCGGTCCCACGTGTTGGATCCCGCCCGCCGGCTCCATCCGCCGAGCGAGATCCTCTGCTTCCACCCCCCACCCGACCCACGCTTCCGCTTGCGGTATAACTGCTCCCGTGGCGTCGGTAGGGGGGTGGCTACCTTCCCATGCAGTGCATCCCCGAGCATCCACTTCCCCACGACCGCGTGGTCGGCCAGTTGCCAGACTTACCGCATTAGTTCCATCGATGGCAGGCACATGTGCTGTAGCTTTGACTGAGACTCAGCTATGACTTGGGCGCATTGCACCCTCAGGCTGTCCTGGCTTTGTGCCCCATGTGGCTGGCAGGTTCGGCTACTGGGAACCATAGTGGATGATAAAGATCACAAGCATGCTATATAGAGCTGTGCACAACCCCTCAAGGGTTACAGGCAAAACAGGCAGTGTTACCACTTATACTCATCCCCCCCTTTTGTTTGTTCAGATGATTGCTTGCAGTGCTCTGTTTTATCATATTGACCAATGAAGCACCTCTTGTGAGGTAACTCAGTTGGTGAGTTCCCTGACTACAAGTGTATTCAATATGCAAGTTCACTATTTACAGTGTGTCAGTCACTATTTAACTAAAGTGCGTTATCTACAGTTACACAATGGGATGCTAGGTACAGTAACACAGAAGAATGCTATGTACAGTTACACAGTAATATACTATGTGCAGTTACACAGGAGAACGCTATGTGCAGTTACACAGGAGAACGCTATGTACAGTTACACAGGAGAATGTTATGTACAAATACACAGAAGAGTGTTATGTACAAATACACAGAAGAATGTACGTACAGTTACACGGAAGAGTGTTAGGTACAGTTACACAGAAGAGCGTTAGCTACAGTTACACAGAAGAATGTATTGTATGTTTACACAGAAGGATGTTATGTACGGCTGCACAGAAGAGTGTTATGTACAGTTACACAGAAGAAGGTTACGTACAGCTACACAAAGGAAGGTTACGTACAGTTACACAGAAGAGTGTTAATTACCGTTACACAGAAGTGTGTTATGTGCTATTAATCTAAAGAAGTGTTATGTACATCTTATCTGAAGAGTGAAAGGTACATTTTATCGGAAGAATGGAATGCGCAGTTCCTAACCTGTACATCATTTGTCTGTGCCCCATTGATCTGGCCTGTGCTGTCTGTGCCAGAATGTCTGCATGCTAAGCCTACTGCCACATACTCACGCTTGTGCATTGCATGCGCTGCCCAACTTGCCTCGGTCACTATATGGGGTGCAGCCCCTATCTCCCTGCCGGTGACACTTGTCCTCTATACCCCTTGAGGTCACTTTGCCTGGGACTGCTGCACAGGAGAACCCTTATCCGGGTTAACAGCGCAGACAATGACTACTATGGCAGTGACCGCCTCCGTGGAATTAGGCTTCAGCCAGGGTCTTCCTTTAAGCTTATCAGGAGCGTAACGCTAGAGGGCCCACCATTAAAACGGCAGGCAACTTGAATGAGTCAGACTCTCCTAGAGGAGAGCAGGCAAGGGCACATGAGCGCTACTGGAAGGGTGAAGGCCCTGAACCAGTGACTTGAATGAGTCAGACTCTCCTTGAGGAGAGCAGGCAAGTGCGCTACTGGAAGGTTGAATGCCCTGAACCAGGCTCCAGGAAAGATAAGACTCAGAGGAGCGGCTAACCCATATGCAATCGGCCAGATGGCCCTGCCTATATGGCGCGGGGGAGGCGATGACCACCGGACGCGGCAGTGACCACCTTCTTAAAAAGGCAGACGACTTGAAGGAGTCAGACTCTCCGAGTGGAGAGCAGGCAAGGGCGCATAAGCACTACGGGTAGGGTGCAGGCCCGGAAAGATTAGACTCCGGAGAAGTGTCTAGCCCTGATACGACCGGCCTTGACGGCCAGACGACACTGTCTATGTGGCGCAGGGGTGAAGGTCCCCGTAACCCCCCCACCACCACCACCACCACCACCCTGGCCGCTCTAGCTGAATGGCGGGCATACCGGTTCCCCTCGGAGGGAGAGGACGATGGGGGTGTGGATTATGATGTCAGCCCATAGTGGCACCATGAGATGTAGAACAAAGTCCACTACAGGGGCCCCGACAACCATGGCAGAAGAGGTCGTCTCGTGGATCGCCTTAAACTAACCCCTGTTCGACCTTCGAACCATTGCTCACCTGGTTTCTTTGGAATGGTCTCTGCCCGATCACCTAGCACCATTTGTGCGTTTCTGGGCCCGTAGACCGCTGGCTTGAGAAGCCCGCAGGATAATCCGAGCGGTATTCCCAGCCGGGCTCCCGAACAAAGTAGCCGCAAACCCAGGCTTAGACCCCGATGGGGCACTGCGGTTTTGCTGGTTAAGCACCTGCCTAGTATTCAGGAGATCCTGAGTGCGACCCACTGCAGTGCCTATACTATTAAGTCCGCACTGGCAAGCAGATTGTTCTCCGCTACACGAGTGAGTTGTGCTAGCGGAACATATGAGGAAGTATAAGATGTGTCCTTTTATAGGGGATTGGACCCTTGACCTGGAATTTCACACTTGCCTCCACTTTCGGATGACATCCCAGACGGGGCCCCGAGTCTGGGGTGGCAGACGACCCTATCCTAAACGCAATTTGGACCGCTGGAGGTGCTTGGGATAAAGGGATCTGAACCCCTCGGAGTCCCGGCATGAGTCTACGATTGAACGTATATTCATTCGTTACTTTGAATTAGACGTGGCCCTCAAGAAACTTCTAGGGACTGCAGGGCCCAGTTCTGGTAAGGTGGCCTCTATTTTATCCCTGGTGAGATAGATATCTGGTTGGCAGGTTGGGAGGAATTGAGGACATACAGGAATACCAGAACTATCCGAAGAGATCTTTCTCGTTTTCCACGCGTTGGGACGTGGACGCGACTCTTCATCGATATAGCACATCTTGCTGTACGGTCTACCTGGATGAGCTTGCCAGACCCCCTGCGGGGTACCTCCCTGACCAAAAGGTCAGACGCTCCCTGCGTTTTCCCTTGTTCGAGTCCCTGGATTTCGTTTTCAACCAGGGCACTATCGACCTCCTCTACATCTCAAGGAGTGGAGTCCTGGAGGGCGGATTGGATGCAAGGGGGTGCCTCCTACGCTGGCGACCCTGACGTAGTTGGGCCTGGTATGGATCTCCTAATTTTGTTACCGCTTTTACAGGGTTCGGGTATTGTTCAGTCACTTTATTACCGGGGACTGCCATATTAATTAGATTAGGTAGCACGTACGACTGTTGTCGGCGGGCCTCGCTCTGCTCAGAATTCCCTTTACGATTCCTGAGGACGGGTATTCATCTCCCCAGGGGGTACACGCATTTTTGTCATGCTCCTATGGTGGGTTCTGTCGGGTTTTGCCCATTCATTGATTCTGGATTTATTTCCGTTATTATACTTTGTTTTTCTTTCAGATGGATTCGCCGGTTCAGACCTTATTTGTCTTATCAGCCTTAGTCGGACCCGAGGGTCATATTCTTACTTTGGTAGCGCTCCCACCTTTAGGCGGTGTTCGACGTCACTGTTTAAATGGTTCTTCCCTTTTTCTCGCCCTTCATGTACGGCTTGGTTGTGGTTGGCATTGGTGGGGCGTATAGGTTTTTTCAGTTCACTTCAGTCCGTAACACTGCAAATTCAGGTACCGACCTGGCGGGCGTTTTTCTCCAAGACATCGTATGCTTTCCTGCCAGTTACGAGGAGCTATCTTCGCAGAGTTTAGGTTGGTACGGCTGATCGTGTTTCTTTGGTCTTTGCTGTCCGAGCGTTAAAACAGCAAATATGACGCCTCCTGTCATGCTATAAAATTGTAGATTATACTAGCTTTAGTGTAACTTATAATAAAAGTAAGAGTAATGACAGGAGGCGAATATTTCCCTCCCCTTGTTGTTTGTTGGTTTGACTGACGTGTTGTTTATTCACCTGGTCTCCTGCGCTAGGTTGGTTATCTGGGGGAGTTGGGGTTTATCTGGGATATGGTACCGTCAGTATTTTATGATGGGGATTCAGGTTTTTTTTCACTATCTGGGATATTATGTCAGTATTTACAATGGGGATTCATGTTTTCTCAGTACATTTAATTCGCTATTCGGTGTTTTCAACTCTGTTTATCTCATTTCAGTTTAATGGTTTGGCTACAGTTCTTAGATCCGACTACTCTACAGGATAAAAGTCAAAGCTTCACCCACTGGTTCCACGGTTTTAATTCCGGATGGCATTCATTGTTATGTTTGTTTCTCCTGTTATTGTATTTATGGTGTATTGTCTATGTACTTTATTTGTCGCAGCGTGAAAGAGGAAATAGTTAGTTGGGAGAAGCCTTTTATAGATTCCTGATTTTTTTTTTTTTTGTCTCTGGTGTTTTTATCTCTATGTTAATGTGCTGCTGTGGAGTTCTAGTAAAGAGACTTAAGCAAATATTTGCCTCCTGTCATTAATAAAATTAAGATTATAGTTACACTTAAAGCTAGTGTAATCTACAATTCATACAGAAGTGAGGGCAGATGTGGAAGGAACCGAACGCCAGAACCTCATCTCTAATTACAGTCAAGTACCAGCATCACTAGTTCTTTTAGTTTAGATAATTATACACAAAGTTGAATATTACACCCATAGTTCAGTAATAGCCAAAGGGGGAAAAAACCTACTTGAATTATTTTGTGCTGCAAAAGTAAAACAAACTCCTTCTCGACTCTAAAGTGGTACCCAACCACCAACCAGACTTGTTAATGAAGCAATGCTTAAAGGAATTAGAAATACCAATCTGGATTCCTAACGCTAGTGTTCCTCCTTCATTTGTGATAAAAGGTTGTTTTTTTTTGTTTTAGCTTTTTCCAGTGCCAAGGCTCTATCAAAGCAGCTCACCTCTCCAACACCCGCAATATCACAGTGAAGGCATGATCTCCTTTAGAGTGGTCCAAGCCAATGCTCTTTATAGCGGAGCATTGGGGACCTTATGCACATGCACAGCATTAGGAAAAGCAATGACTCAATGGTTTACTCTCAGTGCCGTGGGAGCGCCTCTAGTGGCTGTCAAACGTACAGCCATTAGATGCCAACTTCACCCTGCAATATGAACACGGTGATGTCAACAAAAAATGCATGTAAGGAATGTTTATGGCAAAGTTTGCTTCATTCAACACTGCAATTTGTTAGGTAATTTAACACTAATTTGTATTAATCTTAACAGGATATATAAAAGAAGTTAAAGGGACACACCACTGCCCAAATTGGGGGTTTACCTACTAAAAAAAAGCTTGCAAAAGCTGCATATTTCTGATCTACTGCCTCTGCCAGCCCACTACTTGTAACCCATACAGACTGTCCATCCAATCACAGACTTTCCTATGCAGCTCAATAATAGGGCATTGCAAGGAAGGTGCTCTAAGCAAATGGCTGCCTTTTGAGTTTAGCTCGATTGAGCTAAAAAAAAGACCAGGTAGGAACAGGTCATGTTAGGTTGAAAGCTATGATCATGTAATAAGGTTAATTTATAAAAGTGTGCATTCTTATTAAAATATGCACTTTTTTATAAAATAAAGCTAACAAAACCTCTGGATCCAGTGTTCCTTTAATAGCCTGTTGATTTCATAAAAGGGGCACCTGAAAATCAAAAAAAAAAAATATATTTTAGTGTAAATGCAAAAATGTGAGAATTTCTATGAAGGATTTAAAGTTAACTTTACTGTCTTATGTAGTGCAACATTAAATATATAATTTAATTATATTTATTAAAAAAAAATCAAATATTACATTTTTAAGTTGCACATTTTCATTGTAAAAATTTAGTTACATATATATATGAACTGCAAGATCCCTCTCTGAATCAGATAGTCATCTAATAACCTTTAATGATTTTACGATTATTGACGATTTGTTAGAAAAGACCAAGAAACTCCTGAATAATTTACTAAATAAATACAGGCAGTAGAGCATTTATTAAGAGTTATTAGGTAAAAAGTATTAAAAAAAAAAAAAAAAAAAAAGTTAAACAGGAATGCTTTCAAGTGTTTGTGCACAGTGAGAGGATAATTTAATGTGACTGCCTGGGGCATGTCCAGTTCCCAAGCAATGTAGTACTACCCAAGTATACCATGCAGGCGAATGCCCAGGCCTTGACTGCCAAACTCCCATTAAGAACTTTCAACAGACATAGGACTGGTCTTTGGCTTGTGAACTGATCCAGAATTAGTGCTCCACTGGCCCATCTCTATGTATTAAGGAAAACCCAAACTAGGATCTATTCCTATTCCTTCCAGCACTACCCAAATGTTTATGCAAAGTACTTCTCCACCGTTAGAGAGGCTTTCTGAGAATAAATCATTCAAATTCTCAAACGCCACCTACATGCCTGATAAAGTGGAGAGAAAGGATACATGTTTATTATGGCAAATCCCTACTTACTGGTTTAGGCAGCAACCAAACCACCACATGTTACCCACTCTCCACCAACTCAGTGCCAAGGTGATGACTATTGATCACACTTCCTGGGCTTAATATTCATGTCATGGTGTTTTTGTGAGGGAAGGATGAAGGGATGATCTCGGAGGAAAGGAACAGTAGGTCCAAATCACAAAACAAGGTTAAGAACCAAAAACACAGTAAAATGACATGTCACTTAAGTTGATTGACAATATGCTGGGGATGCCCAATTCTCTAGTCCTCTGGCATTAGTGCCATTCCAATGGGCATCTAAAGATAGTGAATGTGTTAATCTATAACCTTTACAGTTACATAAAGACTCTTTATGATTTACTCTTTGAAGCTCATCATAGGAATCACTCAACCTTTAATACTGCTTCATTGCGAGAGGTAAGATGATTGTGGAGGATCAAGAAAATTTGTGGCTATATTTTTACCTTTTCCCGTTGGTAAGGACCTTATATATTAGTAGGGAGTGATACTGACATGCTTGTGCTCTCCCCATATTAAGAAAGACAAGTTGAAAAAACACATACTCTATCACTATACAAAGCCTAAATAAGTGTCCATATCCACCTTTGATACCACTCATTTCCAGGGCTAAAAGCTTATGAACATTTTTTTTCCATAACAGTTCCTGTTTACTGTAACTAGGGAAGCAACCTCCAGTTTATTGAATGGGTAACTATACAAAACAGCAGAAAAATGGGGGGGCCAAGATTGTCGACTGCTACTAGTTAAAGCAGATGTGGATCAATAGATAGATATTTAATTCAGTTTGGTTTTTTTTGTGCTTTAAATGCATACGTTTGTTAGAGATAATTTTAATAAAAACACACACTATTTAATGCTAAATATTTTTATAGGACTTCAGCTTTAAATGGTTTGCAAAAAAAAAAAAAAAAAAAAAATATTCAAAAGTTTCTATATGTATAACCAAAAAAAAAAAAAATCCCTTTAATATAACAAAACTAACCTGTTTATCAATGCAGACATATACAATTTTCAGAAATACTTCAAATCATTTAATGAGGGGGGAAAAAAAATGCAAAAAAGAAATTCAGAAAATTCTATATTTTGTACCTGCTTCTGCTGACTAAATAAATGTCTTCCTCTGTAATCTGTCCAGGTTCTATCAAGCAATAAAAAAACAAATGGCCTTGTTGCCAACACATTGCTAAAATTTATTTTTTCAAAAATCACATGGCGTTCTCAAATTCTGATTAAGATTTTAAAATGCTAAATTAAAAAAAAACAAAAATGCATGATGCAAGCTATGCTTCTGCCTTTACCTTCGCAAATAAATGTAGAATTTCAGAGCCGCCTACTACGTAAAATAAAAATGGAGGGTGCTAAATACTGCAATAGTTTAGAAATGGATTTGCGGACAGCTTACTGGATAAGATTACTTAAAACTGATACAATTAAATTTTAAGATCCATTTACAATAATACATTCCACATATTTAAACAAGTTTTCCCACATATCACTACCATTAGTAATGGATGAGAATTCAGTTTTATGAGATTGCATCAGTTATGCTTTGTGTGCAACAGACACGATGTGTGCTCAGTTTATGTTATTCTATAAAATGTAAGTGAATTACAGGCACTGAATATCTCCCCCACACCCAACCTCAATAAAGCCAGAAACATATCCTTTGTAGCACATTATTTCCTACATTTAACACAGTGCATTTATAGGCTTTGCAATGAAGCATGCTGCTCTCTTGATTAACTGGCCCACGCTAAGCAATATTGGCTTCATGTCACTCTATTCTAATGAATGTTTTGGGTTTTATTTTTCACAATGCAGATGGGCCGCTGTTTTTCATCTCCTTTCCATAATTACTATAACTCATATGTAGTGATTATTTACGGTATGCTTGGGATACCATAAAAAAAAAACAAAAAAAAAATATTCCAACATGCTTTATAAAGCTAACGCAAAGTCTTAGGAAGGGGAATAAACAAAACAAAAGAGGTATCCCTTTTATTAGTTTAACTTAAAAAAAGCCTTGAAAGTAAGCACTCGAGCAGCATGATTTACCCTTTAATAATTCGGTTCTGCTCAATATCAAGTAGCAAATATTCCAGCCAGAGTAGGAACGCACACGTAGCCTCAGTAAACATGGATAGGGATCTGTGTCGGGAAGTTAACATTGTAGACGCACAACACTGGCTGTATTTTTAGACAAACATTTACAAACACAATTAAACAGTGAAGCCAATGTAACCTCAGTGCAAATAAAGTCAAATCCAAATGACAGATAAGCCTTTGGCTTTTAAAGTAAACTGTTCCATGTTACGAGTCCAACTCAAAATGCAGAGGACATGCACTAGGGCTGAGGATGCACTGAATTGTGGGTAGTGGCAGACTGAGACGCAGGAGGCGGAGCTGCAGGTTGTGCTGGAGGAGGTGGTGGCGGAGGAGGCTGTACTGGAGTTTGAGTGTTCGGAGATGGAGGTGGCGTGGGACGTTTGAACTTATCAGGGCTGTTGCTTCTCCTGGGAGAAGGTCTCTGTCAAAACAAATTTTAAGACAACAGTTATAGGAGATGGTATTTTCTAGATAAAGATAAGTTAATATAATTGTATATTTATTAATTTGCTTGTCCTACTAGGCAACCAAAGTCATAAATCTAACGACACGTACATAGAAAAAGCAATATAAAAACAACACGTGTCTTTTCTTCTTCCTAACGAAGGCAAAGCAACGTCACCACCTTTCCACGTTTTTATTTATAGAAAGATAAAAATATTTATGAGAACACTAATAATGACCACTTTCCAGCCTTTCTTATAATGATCTTAATGCTACCGGTAGTAAAACCATTGAACAACTAAAAGGCAGTGGTCACGGTCATTCCTTGTTATAGTGTAAGGCAGGGGTTCCCAACCCAGTCCTCAAGTACCCCCTACCAGCCCAGGATTTAGGGATTACCCAGTTGTGTCTAAGGTGTTTTGTCTAAAAAAAAAAAATTTTTCCCTCTTTCTAAAAACAGGGTAATCCCTAAATCCTACTTGAGGTCTGGGTTGGGAACCCCTGGTGTTAGAGATCTGCATCAGAAGTATTTGTCACTTTAACTCCTTGGTATGCATTACTTCTGTATAGAATAACAGAGCATCAAAACACTAAGCTGCAATTAAAAAAACAACAACTCTAAAACACTTTACTGGTATAAGGACACTGAAGCACACCTAAACATATGGATTGCACCAATTAACTGTGCGCACGCGCACACACACAATGATCTAATAAATGCTGGTTTACAATTAGGAGAGGACAAGTAGAAAGACCTATAGTACGGCTAGCACTACATGTTTATAGTTTCTCTGTGACCAGCCAGGTTGTAAATTAAAAGCAGCTCTACAAAATATTAATTTTGTTGCGCAAAAACCTTAAGGATTTGAGTATGCAAACAAATACATCTTATTCATGAGGTTACAACTGAGAGCAGCCACAGGCTTAAAGTCATTTTTCCCAAGTACAGTTCTAAAGCCAGTTTGTTTGGCCAAGGAAAAATACCATGTCTGAAAATGCAGTCTTGATTTATCTTTAATCCCGAACACATTCATAATTACAATAGGTTTTACTGTAATCTATTCTGAGAGGCAGATTAAGTGCCGTTTTGTTGGGTTTAATACTTACAGTGATACCGTGGGTCGATCCCATGTGCTGCACATGTAAACCTGGAGTATTAAAATAGGACATCCCCGCTCTGGTTAGGGATGTAGGGGGCGTGAACCCAACTGTGTGACTTGCGTATGACAAACCTAAAAGAATGAGGGGGTAAAAAACAAACAAACAAAAAAATCTATTAAACTATTTCCAACTTACCAATGCTCACATTCACATCCCAGAAATCTATTATGGTGAATAAACCCTACATGGGACTAACTCTCTGACACCCAGATCTTGATAAGGAAAAACACAAAACCATTAGCCATGTTCATCATCACAACAACATGCGTGATACTGAATGAAATCCTTTCAAAAAGGACTTAAGAGGATCTGCCTCTAGTGGTTTGGCTGGCCGATAGCACCCCTATAGTTGACTTCAGACTACCTTAGTCTCTACTGCAGACTGCTGTGCCGTGGACGCAGAGAGAGAGACTGACAGCTCTCCCTCCTCCTCCTATTTATGTCTCCACCGGCATTATTAACAGCCCAGATCGGTAGTACACACTAAAAACAATCAGTGACTCTGATGAGCCTCCCTGTGCCACTCTGCTTCTCTGTCCTGTAAGGAAACGTGGAATTATCGGGCAACAGCCAGCATGGCCGGGAAAGTCATCATGCCTATGGCAAACTTAGCCCTTAAGGGCTGCATCACCAGTAGTTCTTGCTTACGGATGTATACTTATAGCAACCTATATTACAAATATACATTTGTAATATACGTTAAAATAACATGAAAAAGAAAGGGAGAAAAAAAACAAAACTAATTACTGCTAATGTTTTCTACAACTTTTGCTGTTCCACACATCAATGAAGATTAACTTACCAGGTGAAATTGGCCGGCTTGAACTTGGTGACGGCGTGTAGGGAATTGGACTGGACACGGTGCGTGGCCTTAATCCTTGAGCAGACATTTCATTAAAATATCTGAAGAGAGTCAGTTACACAGGTGTTAGCAGAATTAATCTATGCAATATGAGCCTCTGTGTCTTGTAATAAAATCTGAGTGCAAATCTAACATTTATTAAAAACAGAAACATTTTCAGCAAGACGACGACTGGGGCATTGCATACACATAGCAGAAGTGTCCAGGTATATATGTTTTGATCACTAGCACTGTAGTGCTCAGCACATGGTTTTTAACCAGAATAAAAGAAAATATATATATATTAATGGAAATAAAACAATAAATAAAGCCAAACATAGAGACAGAAATTAGATTAATGCAGAGTGATATATACTGCACATATGCCTGCATTGGCCATCAGGCAAACCGGGCAACTTCCCAGCGAGTCCCATTTGGCTAAGAGCATCCCAATGTCCCAAATGTTATGATTTCGTTCTCTCTCTTTTGCTAATTATTGGTACAGGGGTTTATCACAATGCATTAAAAAAAATACTGAATATCAATCTGAGAGAAGAACTTATACAGAAGTAAGGCAATGTATATTTAGGAAATCAGGACTGTCAACTGAAATGTGTAGAAAGTTGCTACAAGCATGAAAATAAACTTTGCATACTAACTGCCGACATTGCAGCCCTTCTGCAGAAACCTTTACATGAACTATGAGGCCCTTAAAAGG